AGTATGAGGAGAAATCTCGGCTTTGTCAATGGATGATTTTAGGAAGTGCCCCATTACCGAGCAGCTCCTCTCGCCTGCTGGCTTTCCTCTGGAGCAGCTGTCGGTCAGCGTGTCAGTGGGTAAATCTCTGAAATACAGATTGCTAATGAGGCTGGAGCTCTTGAGGAAGGCCTGGCCCTGAACTCAGCATCACACATAGTTAAGTGACGAGGTTCCCCCGCAGCAACTAGGAGATGTTTCAGACATTAAATAAATTCTGTGAACGAGAACGCTCATTTTATAGTTTGAGATGTTTTCTGACTAAGTCTTGAGGTGTCATTGTGGTGGTCAGTGAGCCCCGGGAGGTCTTTCAAACCCAGGTCAGACCTTTAACCTCCCTCCAGGATGGTTTCTGCCGAGCTCGGTCAAGAGGTTTTCGGGTAATGAGCTTGTTGTCGATGAAAGAAGGGTTGCAGATCATAGGCGCTACCGTGGTCACTGCTGCACATTCCTGCTGGTTCAAGTTACAGCGGAGATATGAAGCAGCTGGAGATCCATGGGTTAAGTAACTGACGTTGGGGCTGACGTTGCGTAAATTCAACTAGTTGGAAGCAGCTCATTGCAGATCTTAGGTCGTACCCGATCCTCTATGACCCAAATTAAGTTGATTTAAATGCATCTTTTCCCCTCCATCCAGACAAAAATGGCATTTTCTATCCTTAAAATTGAGCTTTTATGTAATCTCAAAATGCTGGTTTGGTTTTTCAGTCTGTATGGGGTAAATGGAGCTTTCCCAAAACAGTGGCTAAAGCATTAACCTTTATTAAGACTTTTACTGACAATAAGATAAGGATTTTATCTCTCTTTATCTTATCTTGAAAACTAAAAACTCATATTTCATACTTGTTCAGTTGTCTGTCAACAGAAACGGAGACATAAGTAAGTGAGAACATCTATTAGGTGAATTAGGCTGCATTAGAACACAAAGAGGACATTGAACAGAGGTGTAACAGGCTGCCACTCAGCTGTGGGTGTATCATAGTGAGAGGCTGTGTGGCAAAAAAGAAGACAACTTTATCTGTGATCATTAACCTGCATTCATGTTGATTGATGGTGTCACAACTGTGTGATAAGGATCTGTCTCACTCTCTCCCACATGTTGGCTGTGATTTTATGGTTTGTCAACGGCAAAGAGGAGGAAGAAGATTGAGATTTGACTGGTTTTTATGTTGCTTTATTGTGGATAGATGTCTTGCAAACGTGTAGACAGCTTAAAGGTGGGGTCAGTAATTCTGGAGACAGATAGTTACTTGTTGAGTCACATTCCAAGTCTGTCAAGTATTTGACGACCTGGAAGCAAGAACCCCACCCGCTGCGTTGTGTGGCGCACTCACTCTAAGTTTCCCGTTTACCATACCCCAAAGCATATTTTACGACCTGGGAATGAGACTCAACACTCAACTATGTTTCTCCAGAATAACGGGCCACACCTTTTTAATGTAGATGTAGTCTGGAAGTTACAGAAACAGTAAGTGTAGATAAGGCAGGTAAATCTCACCACAAGGTCTAGTAGCTGCCTGGTTTGGTTGTAAAATCGTAGATGTTTGAATTTCCTCTTTTTTTTCCTCTTCATTTTGTCCGTGTTGGCATTGAACAGCGGTTCCCATCCCAGGTGTGTGCCTAGATGAATCTAAAAGGTCATCAGATAATTACCAGGGTAGAAATCAAGAAATACAGCACAAGATCTCTCTTCTCTTTTTTAGACATTTCGTATGAAATAGCGGAGAGTCTCACCTACTCACATCATCTGCAAAGGTAAAAGCACTCTTTGGTTTGGTCCTCACAATTTGTGGACACAAGCATCCTGTAATAAAGAGGTTGCAAGCCAAAAAGGCTGGCTTAAAAGCGATTAATAGTTCATTTCTGGCCTTGGAAAAAGTAGTTGACAAAATGATCTCAACTATTGGTTGAGAAGTCCTTGAAGGGCTCAGAAAAATGGAGCTACAGTAGCAGGACAAGCGAGCAAACACCTTCTGCTTACAAAGATATTTTCTGAATGGACCTTGTGGTGAGATTGCTGTGATGGCTTTTGTTCCTTGTTCATGTTATACACACACCTCTAGAGTAAACACTGTTGGTCACTCTGCTAAATAACGAACAATTAGAATGGCCTGGAGAATATAAGGTGTGGTGGACAGTACTGCTCCTGCTCATTTGGCCACATTTAATCTGATTTGATGTTGAATGGTGATTCCAGTCTAGTGTGTTGCTCCTAGTCCTGCTGGTATCATGGCATTAGAGTTTCTCTGGACGGCAGCCAGACAGTTCCCTCGTGTGACCTATTGTAGACGAGACTTTCCCTCCGAGCGCCGTTGTTATCAAGTGACTGACCTGGTTTAATCAGCATCAGATGAAACGGGATTTCCCACAGTGAGCCAAAGTCAGTGGGAAATGTCATAGAATCTCGCCTGCTTGCCTCAGTGTTTGAGCAGCAGTTAGCTTGATTACTGCTTATCGTGTCATATTGCAGCGGTGCACAAATGAAAGTGCCGTACACTGTCGGTTTCAGATATGAGTGTGCAACGACTGTCTGTCCATAAGAGCTCCTGCATGCTGTGAAAGTACATGTCATCGTCTGCCAGTGAGAGGATTTCATCTGCCAGTTTTAGCCGGGCCACGCTCAGATACCAAACCTAAATAGGTTGAGATCACGAGAGGAGGCAGCGTGGCGCTGTGCCAGTTGGGTCGTGTTGGTTACAACCTCGCCCACATTCTTTTAAATTTCTGTCAGCCTCCTGGAAATAAATTTTCCCCTCACACGTGGTGTCCCTGCTTTTACAGCCACTCAGCTGCTCAAGAAGTCAACCCCTGTGTGAACTATATAATGTCCTAATAATGGGACAGTGATGGAAGCACCAGAAATGTCAGCAGTAAAGACGTGTAACTAAAGCTCTTCTGCTTTTTTGCTCCACTTTATACTGTATGAGACAGCTGGTTTTCACTGCAATGTACCTGGAAAGGCTGCACAGATTTTACATATTCATTCATTCATTGTTTTTCAATATGGGTAATGTAGGTTATATTAGTCTATATTAGGGAGTAACAGTCAAAATATATATTGTCCTCTGTTGCTTCATTTCTACTGTCTCTCACAAATCCCCCGACATTATGAAAGTACAATACTCAATCAGTGGAGTATCTCTTTAAAGGAACAGATCTTTTTATACAGTATTTCATGTCCCTTTGCACCCATTCATATGCACCCTGCTGCAATAATAATAAGCACTCAGTAACAGTAAATGACAATAAGAATTGATTCTCTCATCAAATGGTTAAAATCAGATCAGATTTTTACAGATGTTATAACCAAACTTATTTATCACCAAATCTGTTGTTTTATCATCAATGTTTACCAAGATGACTTTAAATCCAGATTTTAAGCTAAAATATGATGACAGCCATAAGGTTTGTTTCTTTTTAGGAGTGACCTTGTGGTTGACACATTTCTGGGATTTGTATTTGAAGACCTTGTCATGTAAAAATAGCTTGTTTTGCTTAAACATCCTCTCAGGTCATGTAATAAATAACATTATTATAGTTTTTCCACTTGCAAGCCAACAAGGTGGCGTCCTCTGGTGATGTTGTTTGAACTTTTTTAAACAACCCACTCAAACATGAAGCATCAGACACACACAAACACACACACACACACACACACACACACACATATTTGCCATATGTTTTGCATACACGCATCCCAAAGTGACTTTCTCCAACAGGCGTATACACACACACGACAGCTTTAGGTGAAATGACAGGAAGTAGCGGAGGATTTCAGCAGCCAAAGAGAAACTCTTTACTCTCAGTTGAAAGCAGAGCTGTCCATTACGCTCCACTTCTGTGAACTGTTGTCCTTCGTTTACAACCACAGATGACTTTAAACTGTCATGTGGTTTATAGCCCATTGGTTGCTGTATTCGCCAAGTTCATCAGCGTGTCTAACCATTTAAACCTCACTCGGGGGAGGTGTCATTGGAGTCATTAGAAACTAATGCTGTGTAACCAAAGTTTGTTTCGAAACCCGCAAAATATTCTAGTAGTCTAGAATTCTTGGAGTTACCAAACGTGTCTGGCTGAAGTTCGAGAAAATGCATTTAAAAAGGCCACACAGGATGTTTGACGGGACTATGCAGATATAAAAACCACAGAGTCTTGGGGTTTGAATGCATAACCCAGTGGCTTAAATAATAAGCTTGAACAAACTGTGGGAAAATACACACTCAGTTGGCAGTTTATCAGGTGCATCAAGCTCAAACTAATGCAGTCCTGTGGTAAATCGCACCTTCGTGGAGGTTAATAATGTTCAGTTTTAGTTGAAACTGTTGTGGAGAGTGTTGATTAAACTTTATGATCATTTTGGAGTTGAACTGCATTATAGTGAGAGTTGTCTCTAAAGTGTTCATTTCATTATATCAATAAATCTCTCAGTATACAACAACACACACTGCAGCCTCCAAACTAACCATACAGCAATTCAATACACTTTTACAGCTTGGTCTCGTATGACCAGGAGCTTACAGTGAATGTTAGCTGATGTTATATTCTGTAGATATTATTGACATTACTGAGTCAGTTCACTCATGTTTTGACTCTACTGAGGCTGTTTAACTGTAGCATCTACTACTATCTCACAATCACTTGTTTGAGTTTCATATTAACTTTAATGCTGCTTAGGAGTGGAAGAAAAGGGTGGGAACTGTATCTTAACGTGTTTCTAGAACAGATTAAATGCCAAAGTAAGCAATCATCCAGCTTTGTGATCACGTCTACGTGACCTCTTGTTTATTCTTTCTGTATCTTCTCTTTGCTGTTTAACAACTTATACATTCCCAACTCATAATGAAAGGAGCGGCTCATTTGCAGAAGTTTTTTTTTTTCACGATAACTTGCATTATGAAACCAAATGTAGCTCCCAAACAGTCATATCAGTACTTAAACATGTGCCTTTCTCTGTTTTGCAGGGACGGGTGGTGTTGCAGACCCTCATGCAGACCCAGGTCTTACTGCGGCTGCCGCTCTCATAGACGACTGAAGATACTGAACTGAATGGGAAGGATGCAAAGGTGGAAGCAGTCAGTCTTGGATTCGGTTTCACTGAGTCTTAATGGAACACACACGCTCGAACACACACACATACTGCATGTTTTTTAATACTATCTACTTCCCCCTTTCTTTCAGAGGACATAGATACACCCTGAATGGGCCTCTGTGGTGATCTACACTGTGGTTGGGAAGTACCTAGTGTTACAACTGTCATGCTGGTCTGCTTAAAGGGACAGCGATGATCACTTTTACACGCAGTACGTTTTGTTTTCAGAGCTTTGAAAAATCCATATAGTTGGATGTTTCAGTTTTCGCCTTAATAGTGAGTGAGCAGTTTCTCTGTGCAGAGTTTAGAAATCAAACAGGGTCTTTTCTGTGTTAAATTGCAGTTTCTAAATGGTCAGGACATCACTTGAAATGCAGAAAGACTTAATGGAGACTTCTCAGACTTCTTTCTTCAATAAAGACATAAATTCAATAGATTTAAAGGCGTCGCCTCTTCTATAGAGTCCATCTTCATACTCACACAAAAAAACAGAAGTCTATTCAACTTTTTACCAGTTGACTAATCTATAATTGCTGGGGTCATGAAACTATACTTCCAGAATACACTGAGAATTTGTGATATTGTGTAAATGAAATCTAACCACAATGAGGTGAAAGAGGAATGGAATTTGTTTTGCAATCGTTTCTAAAAAACCACATAGATTTTTACTTGCATATTCTGTTTGCATGTTGTAGGTATTTTCTGTTTCACTTTACACTTTTGAATGTTTTGACAAAGCTTGTCTGAATAAATATTTCTCTCTGACAGATGTTTACTAAGCGTGTGTTTTTCTTGGACTCCGACAAGTGAGTGAAGCGTGCTCATTACACTGAAGCCGGTCCTAAGTGTTCTGCATCACCGCCTCTCAGTTTACAGCTGCAGAGAGTGAGATCTTAGGCAAACACCGTATCCGTGCTAATTACGAAATCCTAACCACAACATGGAGAGCTATTTGAGAGCTTCATAGACAAGGTGCCGTCCTGCAGAATTTCCAGTTATTGCACTCTTTCACAACTTATTTTCATAGTTTTGGATATCGTTTTTATTGGTAATAAGATTTTCTGAGTAATTCCTGAGATCTGGGAAGGCAACGACGTTCGAAGTCCGATGTGTTAAGAAACCAAATGAGACAAACCACCAGGTTAAAGGCTCAGCATGGTCCAGATAACAGTGGGAAAGAATAACACAGATACTCAGCTTCTCCGTTAGAGTAAAACCACACATTTACACCAAACCTCTGCAGCCGTTAATGTGCACTCTCGTCCATGCGGGACTTTCTATTGCTCTCCGACACTGTACACGGCACTCTGGACAAATCTACAGCACGCACCTGGCAGCGAAGCTTTTTGTAGTCGATGAAAATAGGAAAAAGCAGCGTGTGATGTTAAAATCCGCAATATGGCTGCATGTCGCCATTGCAGCACAAGTGCTCTCATTTTCTAGATTCCTCGTTCTTCTTGTCTTTAAAAATAAGTTAGCTATCCTGTTGGTGGTGTGTTTTTGAAGGAGGTGTTTGTCTTGTATGCAACACAGAGCAACAAGCCAATCATCACCACGGAGGCGGTGCATGTGGTGACGTTTCACATTTTCAGAGGCTCTCACTGAATGAATGAGATAGTTATGTAATCGTAGAGGTTTGTGCGAACCAGCACTAGTGCTTCGTAGCGGGCTTTCTAAGAACTTATTTGGAAGAGAAAGCAAAGGTGAACGGTAAAATTCCGACCCAGACTCTGTTTGAACAGTTTTTACAGACCACACTGATTACTTATACCGTATTTGCTGTAGCTGTGCACACACAGTTTTCCAGTGCAGTGAGTGATAGCTCTCAGTTTCACTTCTGCCTCCAAGTAAAGTGATAGATAATCTGCCTACACTGTTGGCTTGTTTACAACCTATTTGACTGGTTGTGTTTCTAATCTGATTTATTTCAGCGATGTCGCCTTGTTCCCAGATCTTAGTAATATCACAACCAATAGAAACTATGACCAAAACTACATAAGTTAAATGGAATTATCCTTTTAATAAATACACTTATTTGTTTTCTGGCAAATAGTTCGGTTAGCTTAGTATTAAGACTGGAAACGGCTCGCCTCTGGCTCTGTCCAAAGGTAACAAAATCTACCCATTAGCAACTCTTAAGCTCCCTAATCAATATGTTATATACTCTTTGTTCAATCCGTACAAAAACCAAAGACTTTGCCATTTCACGGAGAGTTATGTGTGTCTTCGCCAGGAGCCATTCCCAGGCAACAGAAACTTTATTGCTCATAATCAAGATATATTCCGGCAGTCTGCCCATAAAACGCCTGATTTTAACAATATTGGATATAACATAAAAGTGAGGTTTAGAGGTGCTAGATAGATTTTGTGACCTCTGGACAGAGCAGGCTTGCTGTTTTCTGGCTTTCAGGCTAAGCTAAGCCGACCCATCTTCTGACTGTAGCTTCATGTTTACTGTACAGAGATGAGAGTAGTGTTTTATTTTCTCATCTATCTCTCATCAAGAAAGTGAGCAAGAGTAGTGTGTAAAATGACTAACGGTTTCTTTATCAAGCAGAGAAACACTCAGGGGCAGCTGAGTAATGATTTTACTGTCTGGCACTTTCAGATCAGTGTCCAGGTTTGCAGGTGCAGATGTTGGTTCACGTCATGGACTTCACACTGTCCCTCTCACTTCTGTCAGCCTTGCAGAAACCTTTGGATGTGGTCAGCTGAGCGGTTAGTCATGCTCACTGGACTGGATATCCTTCGCCACTGTCACTTTTTATCTCCCTGTACTACAAACCTCTCTTGTAACTTACATACAAACCTCCCTGTTTCAGCTTTAACTTGGAGCACTCATCCTGAGCAGTTTTTGTTGATCTCATAAGACAACTGTACCAGGTCAACCTGTCTGATTTTCTCTTTCGCTCGCTTTCATGTAAAGCTGGAGCTGAAAGAAAACGAAGGAGGTTAAATAAACACAAACCTCATTAAAATAAACTTCTGTCAGCTCCCACTCCCCGAGTACAGGAATGCGTTGTCATGCTTTACAACCCACACAGACTTGCTACAGAATTTCAGGTAATGAATGAACCGGGGATGTCCACCCAGCAACCAGGAAACAAAAAAAAAAAAAAAATTGGTAAAGGATGACTGAGTTTCCCACCACCGTGCCACCTCATCATCAGGATGGTTCAACACACATATACAAGGTGTACACACAACCAATGCACTCATCATTCATCTTTGTAATGTGATGTACATTGCAAACATTGCGTTGCACCAAAAACTAGACAGATTTGTTTTCTGCACACACAAAAAGAGAAGAATTCCCACATCTATCATACACTAGCTGAAATGTAATCACCTCCCTAAAGTTTGCATTAAGCTTGTTTCATAACCCCAAACTGTAGTTTAAAGGCCCTGAAAATCTACTTTCTCAATTAGCTTCTTACTAGGAATAATGGAGTCCAACGAGAACACTACATTTTCTGCCAAAGTTTGAAAAGTTGTGGTTATTTTATATGAGAAATGTCCTTATTTGTCTATTTGTACTTTCTTTCCTCACTTATTATAAGTGTTATCAGAGATACAACAACAAACACCCACTACTTAACTTCTTTAGCCAAGAATATAAAGAAATATCTAAAATCTGATATTATTTCTTCAGGGGCTTTAATACAAGATCTAAGGAAACAGAATCCTTTTTGTTGTGTAACAGAGTGAATGAGTGATGAGTACCTGTGGAGTCATCTCGTGTGCTTACAATGTGCTGTGATATTTTTACAGCCCAGTAAACCGGTTTAAATGTCAATTTAACTGAACTTTTTTTTTCACTGGGTCACAAAAGGGAGGAAGATGAAGTGAAAGATAAAGAGTAGAGAGTAACAAAGGGTATCGCATTCTTCATTAAAAGGAACATGAGAAGATCTATAACACTGTCATACCTGTTAGCTTAGCATAAAGACTGGAGCCAGGTGGAAACAGCTACCATGCTTCTGTACAAAGGTAACAAAATATGCCTGCGAGCAACTGTAAAGATTACTAATTAACATTTTTTGTTTAATCTGTATTAGTAAGGTCTACATTCAAGTCCTCTCAAAACTACTCAATTAAAAAAGGAAAGAGGCATTTTTTGGTTGACCTACCACACACCATCTACTTGTGACTCACCAGTTTCACATATTTGTGGGTTAAACCAGGTCAAACTAAAAAAAAAAGTCCTGAGAAAGTGAAGCAGATTAAATTATGTAAGAAAAAACACAAAGATTAGAGGAATATAATTACAATGTACGATGAATTGTTTGTTGTGCATTCCTGACCTGTTTGACATCTTACAACCCATCACATTTTATCTTGTGACCCGGGTTGTAGATCTACAATAAATAGATCAATAAGTAAATGTATATAATAAATCAATTGTGTTTCAATGAAAAGAAAAACTAGAAATGTATGTTGATTTTCTTACAGCCAATTGTCAGCTACAATCAGTTCAAATGTGTAACCAGCAGATGATAAATATGCCATGGAACAATTCAATAAAATATATAATGTGCTGATTTGCATTATAATAACTTCCTTTACTCTTATCATCATCCGGAGCTTTTCAGTTTAGGAAAATGTCCCGACTGTCTGACCTCATCGTCAGTGGTCCACGCCCTCTGTCTTTTGATGTGGCTGCTCTGTTTGTTCACCAGCGCCAGTGGTCTGCTCTCTCCCATTCAACAATCTGCCACTTGCTAAATCCCTCACTCTGACTGGGCCGCAGCGGCATTGTTTGTGTTTTACACCAGGAGGTGAGAAACACGCGGCCTCGTTCACACCCTCAAGCCTCGATCCTGGCTGCAGAGTTAATTCTGCAGAAATCAGGTGTGACTTCTCACCTGCATTCAAATCCAGTGTGAGTGGGCTCCAGCAGAATAATGGTACTGATCGCCTTTTAGTCACACAGCAAATTTCTGTTTCTCTATCCAACTGTGAATGCTGGAGGTTAAAGAAGAATCTAGTTGAGTTTGACACCAGGCTGTTTTTTACATTCATCTGCTGAAGGGGGAAAGTTTCTCTGTGCTCACCTTTAATGTGAGTTTAATGTGATTTGAGACATCGCAGCTAGTTTGGAGCTATTCGTGGTTTAAAGGTCCGGTGTGTAACATTTAGGAGGCTCAGTTGGCACAAATGGAATATAATATTCATAGTTACATTTCATTAGTGTATAATCACCTGAAATTAAGAATTGTTGTGTTTTCATTAACTGTTTTTATCTACTTCTGTGAAGTGCACCATGTTTCCACATTAGCACAGAATGAACAAACCAGAAACTGGCTCTGGATAAGGCAGTTAGCATATTTTGCATGCCACCGTAGTTTCTCCCGCTTGGAAAGGGAGGGTGAAGCGAGTGAGTTGCAGTCTGCAACTACTATCTGCTACATTCTGCTAAATTGTACACACTGGACCTTTAATATGCAACTTATCCAAGTGTGAATGGACTTCTTTGTGAAGTAAGAGACGTTCTGTGTGTCCAGCAGTCAGATTCACTTGCAGTCCACAGAAAAATATTAAATTTTTCTAATAGAATAAGGTTAATAAATAACGTGATTATAAAATGTACTCATTAAAGGACCCTATCTACAGCCAGTGTTCGGTTCTGGGCTACTGTAGGAACATGGCTGTTCAACATGGCGGTCTGTAGATAAAAACAACTCATTCTAAGGTAACAAAAACACATATTCTTATATTCAGGTGATTATATACTAATGAAAACATAAGAAAATTATATTTCAGCC